CTAAAAGTTGCATAAGGGAAGGCGAAAAAACAACGCCTACAATGTGCAAAAATAGCAAAATGCTGTGGAGCGGTGAAAAGGTGAGTGCATGTCGCTGTTTCATTCTCTTCGGCAGGCCTATGGGCCTACAATTCGATATTTTCCAGTTGTCAGGACAATGCTGTACAGAGGAAGGAAATAGTCGCTAAGAAAAAGCAACTGAAAAGGCTTTACGACGCTTGCCACGTCGAATTAAAGAAGGTTCGTTTCAATTGTGACAAAATTGCCTTGTTCCGGGGAAGTGGGCTGCCCTGCAAACGACAGTGCGTGCAAAGGGGCGTGGCGTCTGGGCCGAACCGCTATTGGTGGAAAAGATTGCCGTGGCTCCGCCCCAAAGCCACGCCCTTTCACACGCCTTCTCTCTTGCAGAACTAATGACTGCAGAATGGAAATTCTCGTTAAAATGGATAGTTTTCAGAAAAAGCTCAGCAAGAAACATAACAAAGACAATAAAGACAATAAGGAGAAGGAAAAAGAGAAAGATGATGAGACGAAACCCGTCCGATTGTTGAAGAAGAGAAGTCGACTCAACGAGAAAATCGAAGAGTCAAATGAACGGAAGCGTACGGCTCCCATTCAAACGAAGGTTTTACAAGAGGTCAGTGCAGCCTTAACAAGTTCGAAATCAAACCGCATTAATACTGAAGGTCCCAGGAAGAAAATGGAAGATACGGTAACCCAGTAGATACTGTAACTGATGCGCAGTGTTTGAGGTGAGATTTAGGTAAGTAGTTCCGGGAAGTCTTACAGCCGTTTGGGCTTGTTTAACTTTAAAGCGATGCATACTTTCTAAACACCATATCGCGATTTAAACCAAAACAAGCACCATCTCGAATCACCACGACTTTTGGCCAATTGTGGCGCAATGCGAGAAATCTCCATCAAGAAAAAACGTGGAGTCTGTCGGTCGAGAATCCACGAAATCTGCGAAGGTCTTTTTTGCCTGGTCTTAATTGATGAAGTATTTTTCAGCAAGGAAGTTCTGAAAATGTCTGAAAAGGTGACAGTCGGTTGGTGAAAGGTCTAGAGAATATGGTGGGTGAGGGTTTTAAAAAAGCTTCAAACTCCCAATTCGTTCTAGATTTAGTGGATTTGTGAAACGTGTGGGCGGGCGTTGTCATGCAAAAGAATCGGACCCTTTCTTTTGATAAGTGTTGGCTGCAGCTGACAATATTTTCGGTACATTTGGTCGGTTTGTTCACAGTAGGGTTCTGCTGTGATGGGTTTGGCCTGGTTGACTGAAAAGTTATAGTGGATTACAACAGCCGATGACCACCAAACCTGACCAGAATTTTTTTTTCGCGAGGGTTCGGCTTTGAAAATTACCTCGGTGGTTCCTCCAAATCCAACCACTGTCCGGAACGTCTCCTGTTATCATACATGATCCATTTTTCATCACAGGTGACAAATCCGTTCAAAAACGGGTCAATTCTTTTGCGCAAAAGCAGTGAAGAAGGAACCTCGAGACGTGCCGATTCCTGCCGGTCACTCCGATTGTGGGGCACCCAATTGTCGAGTTTTTTCACCTTCCCAATGCGTTCCAGACCATCTGCAACAGTGGATTTGCCAAGGCCTAGCTCTTCTGCTATCTCTCGAACTGTTTGGGATGGGTCAACCTTCAAAATCCCCCTAAAATCCTCGTCAGATATTGCTTTAGGTCGACCGCTATGAGGCTCACCTTCAAGGCTGAAATCTCCAGAGCGAAATTTATTGAGCCATTGCCGCACAGTGCTTTCTTTAGCACTATTGGGCCCCCACACCTGGTTAATTTGTTGAGCTGTTTCGATTGCGGATTGCCCCAATTTATAGCCGAAGAAAAAAATCGTCCGGAAAGTGCTTTCACATGCTTGAAAAAATCTTGAAAAAAGAGGGTTAATCAAGCAATGGTGAAACGGCAATTATACCATCAGATAGCGCAAGAAATTCTCTACAGGATGTGCTACTGAGAAGCAAGGCAGAATGAGTTTTTAATCAGCAGTGAATGTACAAAGATTAGGTGCACAAAACGCTAAGAACTTTCCGGACAACCTAAATACTTTGAAGAGTCTGCTTAATGTTTCTTAAACGTTCCTATCAAAATTTCGCTGCTAGCCGTTTGGGAGCAGAAAACGGATTGATTGCGCGAATCATCTTGCCGAAAAAAATCTTCAGCAAATACGAGCTGCCTTTCCCAGTCTTTGCAGAATTTCCCCACGCTATGCAGACCTAACTACAAACACCGCGTGCAGTATTCAGGAGCGCTTTGCCACAATATACCAAAGCACAGAGTTGCCGATGTGACAAGGCTGTGAGCGGTGAGGGGGGGGCACTTCAAAGCGAAAATCGAAGTAGCAAGACACTGCTGAACGTCTTGCCGGTGTTCAGCGCATTCCTCCATGACTGGCCACCCCATAAGCAGTCGTTGTCACTGGAGTCAGTGGGGGCGCGTGCCAGCGGCGCGTGTTTATTGCGCGGCACCAGCCCCTTTTCCAGCGAATGTTCGGGCATACAACGAGGGTGGGAAAGGTGGCTGGCACCGTTCCAAACCCCGTGCGGCTCAGACTGACTCCAGTTATAACGACTGCAGGTCCGTTCTCAGATAGCTTCAGCTGCATGGCAAAACTTTCCCCCCCCTATGTTACGACCCAGTTGTGTTCAAAATCAATATCGTCAGTACCGTGATGGTTTTCGGCTTCCTTCTGCCAGCACATGATCAACTAAAGTCTCGTTAAGGTTCAGATGCGAGACTCTGGCAGAAAGAAAGCCGAAGAAGCAAATCGCTCACAGCAGGTTTCTCTCTCACACACATTTCACTAGCAATACATTTTTTGGTTTCGTCCTTCAAGGAGAGATATGCACCAAATGGAGTTTGTCACACCCCATGTCGCGGAGATGGGGAAGGCGTGTCCAGGGCGTCAAAGTTAAAAGCTGATAGCTAACGGCGGAACTAGCCGCGCTCACATTTGCTCGTCTTATCCTAGAGATGGGGGAGGGGCGTGTTCTTGCATGAACACGCCCCTCCCCCATCTCCAGGATAAGACGAGCACTTGTATTGAGTTAGTCTCAGGCTAGTCTTGGGGAGGCAAAGAAAGGAGGAAGGCTGATGGACACGCGGCAGTAAGAAGTACAGTAGAAAGCGCAGGCAGCATGTTCGGAGATGAGTGCAGACAACTCAAAAGGAAGTCTGTACACTTCCCGAACCTTCGTTTAGTCCGAGGATGTTCACAGGTGCACAGCCGAGGAAGAGCGCGTCCATGTTGATACCCATGCGCAATCGCGCTCACATATAAGTACACGGCATACGCCCTCCCTATCCTAAGGGTGAGGAAAAGGGGAGGATTGCTTATAAAACCCCGTTCAGGAAGCGATGCATTCGATTCGAATTACTTAGGCAAGGAAAGCCTTACCAATTCAAAGATGGCTGAGAATCACGAAGGAACTAGTGGAATGACCCGTCTTCCCGGAGCGTCTATACTAATTTTACCCCCATAAAAATTCCTTATCGTTAAGAATCCCACGCGGAACCTCAGGGGCCATAGAAGTAGGCCCATTATCTTGGTGGCGGAAAGAGGAGGTCGAAAGAGGATGAAGTTGGACCTTAAGATGGAAGAGGATCGTGGGTGAGGTAGCGGTGTAGTGGTCATTTCCTCAACGCGCTGAGAGCGTACTGCCTCAGAACATGTCCTCTCTATAGCCCACACATGGAGAGGGCTTGGCTGCGTTCTCGATGATTCTTGATGGCTGCGCTTTAGGTGGATATTGGATGGGTGGATCTTTTCTAGGCAATTGTAACCATGTCTCTATGGAGAGCGTTACATTATAATAGTTGCCTCGAATAAAAATATCCCAGAAAAAAACGCATCTCACGCTATGTCCAAATGGAGTACACCCGGCAACGCCCCTTTTCATCCGGGATAAAAAGTGGAGTTAACAGCAATTGCTCACATAATCGAAGTGTGGCTGTTAAAGGTTGAATAGGCGCTGTTTGTCGACGGGGGGGGCATTTTGTATTATCATTGCTTCCCTAGTTCCCCTTCGTTCACAAATCTCCCTTCCGGTAAAACTTGTGAACTCTTGTGAAGCTGAAGTAAGATCGTCTAGCCACTATCCTAAAACGTGTCAACTCGAGAAACGGCTGCCTAGATGGGTCGACACATCTATGGAAAGCAAAATGCCCCCCCCCCGTCGACAAACTGCGCCGGTTAAATATTATCTAACGATTATTCAATTTCAGCTTTCATCCACTGAGATCTGATCACCAAGACGGATTGATTCCTATCTGAAGATTGTGCTGCTACTTCGCTTAATGTCCTGTGTGTTGTAAATATTACGACTCGTATAGCCGCCTATTGTGACGTTTTCGTTTTATAAATTATTTTTCTCTTATCAATTCGTTTGTTTACATAATTGTTTACAAAATCACCCGCTCCATAAAATCCACCCGCTGGGTGTCTTGCTGTGAAGCGCTGGTTCCAAAACCACTGCGAATTTCTACGGTTCAAGGGGGAAGGAGTGTAGTTAATCGCTCACATTATCGGTTGCAGGTAATCAGTTAGTTGTAGGTGTTGAAGGCCTTCGCTGCACACAAAATTTTTGCAGAATGCCCCCCCCCCTCCCTCCAGTCCTCCTGCAGCGGCACTGAGTGGGCGTCGATCTCACTCGCTAGCTCCGCGCTTCTGCAAGTAAGGTCAAGTAAGGTTCAACTTAAAGACCGCATTTGGTTCAAGGTACTGCCTTGAAATCAACTACCGATGATGAGCGAACAGAACAGCGTGCGAATGTGCTCCATGGTAACAACTGAAACAGTCGAGGGTGTGTTGCTTCCCAAACAGGAAAGGCTGCCCCTCCTACCCCAAGTCGTAAATTTCAGGACCGTGAGGTCGTAACAAGTTTCTACCTACAGCCTTATTTTCTGAGAATGAGAAAGGGTGTGGAGGGCGCAAGTTGGAGGCGAACCTCTCCACTAATTGTTGTGGGCTGAGGTTAGCACCAATGGCGGAGAACCCAGTCATGGCTGCGCTACAATCCACTCCCCTCCCCTCATGCGCCATCTCGGTGCATGACTGTAAAAGGAGAACGTGAACAGTCTCTAGATGTCCGTAGCAGGACAATCAGGTAGCTAATTCCCAGCTTGTCCACTCGACCTACTATATCAGTAATGCCTCAGATCATTTAGATTTAGGCCACAGAGTAGTGACTGTCGCGCGCACGACGTCACTCTCTCCGCAACCCGGAAAGAGTGATCTCCTAGCTGGCACTCTCATATCAACTGTTTGAGGTAACCAGTCTCCTGGTGTTTCCACTTGTCGAGTACACAAGCTCACAGTCAGCACACTACTGTTGGACACTAAGGTAGGGTTGCACACTTAAATAAGGCACGATAATTGGTACTTGCGCTAGAATAGTAGAGGGGAAACTCTACAGTGGAAAATGGTGAAAAATCGAGGTTAAACATTCAAAACCCTGAAAGAAAACCCTTGTTTCGCACGGTATCGAAAGCATTTTTTGGGCGAGTTCCCTGTTGGCCTCGTGCCAACAAACGCTTTGGTAGATATCGCTGCATGCATGTATTCAGTTCTCCATCTGGCTACGCTTCATATCAACTGCATTCCATAAATGAAGCGATAAGAGTAAGGAACTAGCCCGGCGGAGGTGCGCACGCTGTCCGCCGCCTATTTGATGCTAGCCAAGTTGGCTTTTTGCATC